AAGTCCATTGGGATTGGTCGTTCCACTGCTTCTGGTGATTCGTCCCTTCCTGATCTTAACGCGCTTAATAAACATTTTTCCCTACCCCCTGTTACTTTAGATAAGCATCGTAAAAGCGCTACCCTTAGCATTTTGGCTGACTATACTTTACCGGCATGTACCTCTTTCTCCTTCCGGACTGTTACCGAATGTGAGGTCAAAACCCATATTCTCTCTATTTCTTCTACTGCTGTTGGCAATGATGATCTCAGTTCCCGTATGATTAGCCTCATACTCCCTGAACTTGTCCCTATCCTCACTCATGTTTTTAACTTCTCTTTAGAAGCTAGTTCTTTCCCTTCTCACTGGAAACGCGCCCATGTTATACCTTTACCCAAAACGTCTAACCCTACTTGCCTTTCCGAATTCCGTCCCATCTCCATTCTCCCATTTCTATCCAAAGTCCTCGAACACATTGTCAACAAGCAGTTAATGTTGTATCTTTCTTCTAATAAGTTGCTTTCCCCGTTTCAGTCAGGTTTTCGTTCTGGCCATAGCACTGTGACTGCACTGTTGAAGGTAACTGATGATATTCGCCTCGCAATGGACAATGGTCTTCTCACTTTGCTTATACTTCTGGACTTCAGCAGTGCTTTCAACTCTGTGGACTTTGACGTATTGCTTGCTTCCCTTCGCTCTTTTAATATTTCTCCTTCGGTTATAGCTTGGTTCGACTCCTACCTCAGAGGCCGCTCGCAGTGTATTCGCTCTGACGAGGCTTCCTCTGATTGGTGTGACTTAGTTGCTGGCGTTCCTCAGGGTGGTGTTCTTTCTCCTCTCCTTTTCTCTGTTTTCATCAATTCTGTCACTCTTGTGCTGTCTTCAAACTTTCATCTCTATGCTGACGATTTGCAGCTATACCGCACTTTTAAAGCGTCTGAAGTCGTTGCAGCCGTTGAAGCGGTTAATGCTGATTTACGAAGCATCGCTCATTGGGCTGAGTGTTTTGGTTTGTTGGTGAATCCCAAAAAATCACAGGCTATGATTGTGGGAAGTGGATATATGCGTGGCATATTGCATCTAGATTCTGTCCCACCTATAGCGTATAATTCCACGCCTATTGCTTATGCTTCTACTGCAACTAATCTTGGCTTGCTTTTAGATTGTAATTTGGTTTGGACTCCACATATTAATGAAGTCAGTCGTAAAGTTCATTTCTCCTTGCACTCACTTAAGCGCCTCCAAAACGATTTACCTTTAAAAACCAAAATATGTTTAGCCCAAACACTTATTTTGCCCTTCTTAGACTATGCTGATTCCTGCTATTTGGATGCTACTGAAGAACTGCTAAATAAGCTTGAACGACTGCAAAACCTATGTATAAGGTTCATTTTTGGGCTTCGTAAATATGACCGAATTTCACATTTCCGCAGTCAGCTCAAATGGCTCCCCATCCGTCTCCGCAGGAATTTGCATATTGTCTCCATTCTTTACAATATTTTACATAACCCTATGTCTCCCGGGTACCTGAAAGAGCGTTTCAGCTTCCTTAGGTCCCAGGATAAACCCTGTCGCTCTCTTGTTAGGACCCAGTTATCTTTTCCATGCTTCAATTCCGGTTTCTATTCTCACTCCTTCACTGTTCATGCGGTTAGACTTTGGAATGCACTTCCTATTACTGTTCACGAAAGTAAATCGTTAGCTATTTTTAAAGTGAGAGTTAAAGAGCATTATTTATCTACTATTCCATCCATATCTTAGGTATTATATTATAAAATATGTATTTATCTAAGTATTTATATAATTTAAAACAATTTAATATTTTTATATTTTTTTTTTCTTGTTTTGTTGTGCACATATGCCCGTTCTTTTAGTTATAGTGTCCTGTATTTAGGTCTGCAGGAAGAAATTTCTATTAGAAATAAGCAGAACCTTTTGTTTTTAATTTCGCTTGTATTCTTTGTGACTTGTTGTATTTTTCCTGTACAATAAACTATTAAAAAAAAAAAAAAAAAACCACGAAAAAAATGTCCCAAGTCAACCTATTCGAAATTTAAATTGTAATGTCATGGCAGTATCGCGCTGTCAGTAGAACAAATGAAGACTAAAGCGGAGTGTCGCGCTCTGTATACGATTTTAGCGCCTTACAAGTGCGGACACTTTTTAGCGCGGACCCGACGTCCATATAATTGTAAGTCAATGAGCAACATAATATTATCCCTCACAGAATTATTTGTTTTTATAATTTAAATTACCTTTTTCCTTCTTACTAAGGGAGATTCGAGCAGGTTTAATAATTCTAATAAAATAAATAGGATAAAAGGGAAAATGAACCATTTATTGTTTGTACAATTTATTCTAATAAAACAAAATAACAATTTTTTTTTTTTAATAAGTACCAATTTTCGGATAATATCGCGGTTTTTTAGATTCATTTTACTCCCGACGTTTCGACGACTGATTCCTTCTTGGACTTCTGAAGACTTCATGGTCACGGGGCGGAATGAGCTGTTGGTCGTCTTCGATGTCTAACATTCGCGTAAACTTATAAAATTTTAAATCAATCAGATTCCAAAATACTTTCATCAAGATATTCCACCTCAGAAAACTCTATTGTATCTTGGCTAGACGTTCCGGCAACAACAAACTCATCTGAATCACATGAATCTGAAGTGGTCTCGCTACTGCTCTCATCTCTGACGTTAATAACCAATTTTTCAATGTCGTCATACATAGTCATACCCCTTTCATAATACTCTTTTTCAATTTTAATAATGTTGGCATGAATTTTTCCAATCTTCCGCAGTAATCGCTTGGAATGCTTGTTCAGCTGCCATCTGTCCGAATAAAAATATTATTGATTATGAGTTCAACTTAATAACATTAAGAAAAACGAATTATGAACTAGATCCCTACCTTTATGTCAATGGACCCTACATTGACAGAGGCAATTTTATGTTTTGCAATTCCCCATATCAATTCAATAGGATTGAGGTCACAATGATATGGAGGCAGCCGTACCACAGTGTGACCATGATCCCCCAATATTTGGTCAATTTCATAAAAGGTCTCTGGTTTGTGGCGTTTTACAAGCATTAACAATTCAGGTTTACGCATCATTTCATAAAATTGTATATTGTTTTGTAGCAACCGCAGCTTTACATCAGCAACTTTTGTTGCACTGGTTGGGGCCTTATTGATGACTACCGAATGGTAAGGAGCATTGTCCAGAACAATAATGGAAGGCTCTGTCAAATTGGGAATTAATTTCTCGGTAACCCACTTAGTGAAATTTGCTCTATTCATTTCAGAGTGGTAATCTTCATTCTTGTTTGTGCCACTGAAAATTAATAGTGCATTTGGAACAAACCCCTGTTCACTCCCAGCATGCACAATAATATATCTTTTGCCTTTAGATACATTGTGTTGCACTCCACTAACTTCAATTGATTGCCAAAATTTTTTAAGCTTGTAAGATGAGTGTAAGTAGCTTTCATCCAAAAAATAATTTGTTTTTGGAGTTCTTGAGACAAATTTCTATTATGCATTATAATTTTTAAATATTGTTCCCTCTTTGCTGCTATATTAGGCTTCTCCATTAGAGCCGATCTGTCTGTTTTACATTTTTTGTAAGAGAAACCCAGAGAATGTAATCTTTCTTAGATGTTCACGGCTTTCATTAAATCCCAAATCTTCTTTAACTACAGGTAATAAATTTCGTAGTGTAGGCACCTGAGAAAAAAAATAAAAAGTTTTTATTTATTACATAATACTGTTTTTTTATTGAAGAAAGTGGCATTAATATAAAATATAATACATGCCTGTTTTTTTACCGTGTAGAAGAAATGAACCTTTTGTCTAATTGCGCAGAGGTCAAAATCATCGAGATCTTTCTTTCGTCGACCTTTCCTATGTTTACCAGGTGTAGAAAACACGCCATTATTTTTTTCACCTTCTTCAACAATTTTTCTTATGGTATTGACAGATTTACCTAAAATAAATACCAAACATACACAAATATACAAAAACACCAATTTATTTGAATTTTAAGTCTTGAAAGAATCAAAAATATTAAGTCAACTTATAAATGATACGTAAACATAACCTTAGTTACTATTTTGTCAACTAAACACAAAAACTCGTTAATTGTATATTATAAGTAGTGCAAAGTGCGTAATTCGACATGTAGAACGTAATAATAATTGAATAATTTGCATAAATACCTGTCATATCGGCTGTTCTCTGATAAACATTGTTAATTTCAGACAAAATTTGTCCCGCTTGAGATTCAGCCAAACATCGTAAAAAAACTTGGTATATCACTGTTCTACCACTACTAAGAATCGTTTTGTTTATTTTAAATAACAAAACAAGCAACAACCATATGAGAATTTACAGAACTTCGTATAAAATTACTCAGCGCATACAGCAATAACACAAAAGCTACTGGTTATTTGACTTGACACCTTGTATTTAGTTTGTGTTTGACACCACTGACATTTTTAATAGTGTTGCCACAAATATCTTTTTTTAGTTCCAGTTTTCACCGCGTCATACTCTTTTTTGCCAAGCTGTACTTTTGATTGGCTAAATGCGAAGGTAAAGCCATTAAAATATGTCAAATAAAGTTTTACTGGTTTTACCAGGATGGAAAAAATAAAGAAATAGTCTAGGGCTCGTATTCCAGAACTCTACTCAATGCTCAAGTCAGGATCTGAGTATGATTTCAAGCACTGGAAATACAGTTCACAATAGAAGTACAATTTAGTGCTCGCTGCAATACTCAAGTCCTGACTTGAGTATTGAGTAGAGCGTAACTCAACTGACAGCTTATAATGATAATCACCGAATAAAGTGCTCAACTACCTTGTGTCACTGGAATACGACCCTAAGGGTTTTACTGCGCCAACGTCATCAGTCAAATCATAGGAAGTGAGGCATTATGCCAAAGTCGTTAAAACTCTACTTAAAAAAAAAAAACACTGCGGCTGCGGGCCTGCGGGTTCATTTCAACATTCTAACCAATTTTAACCTGGAATTTTTCCATCTGTTGTGTTTTTGATTTCCATTATGAGCGATAATGATAATAATAGTGACGAACCATCGTCCAAAAGAAGACGTTCTTGTAATGAACTGGATCCAAGTAAGTAGTGTAACAGTTCTTCTCGTTTAACATTAATGTATTATTATATCGAACCAAAATATCAAATGGGTCGTAACAATTTGTAACTAAAACGTCCTATATAAGACATCAGGCGATAAAATTCAAATTTTGTATATAGCACTCAAGCATTGTTTATTATCTTGCAAGTGCAAACGAAGTTAACTTTTGACTCTTAAATTACATACCAATTACGTTTCATCGATTATGTTTAATCAGGCTTTTTTAATTTTTAGGTAAAATACATAATGCAGACGAGGGTAAAGTTCTTAATACAAAAAAACATACGACGCCTCAAAGAAAGAACGTCCCTAAGTTTCGCTTGAAAACTGCAGGAGATAATGCTTCTTTGTGTACAGTAGCAGAGCAAAGAGTGCCTTTAATGCTGACAGATATTCAGCATCTGATGTTGCACTCCCTACTGGGCAACTTAAATTTATCAGAGTCGCCTCGCTGGTATGTGCTTGACAAGTGTAACAAGATCTCTCAGACCACTTGCCTTATTCTTGAAGGAGTTTCTATCCAGCACTGGCTCAACCAACAACACAATCTTCAATTTGTGAAAAACACATTTGATGATTTTATAGAGATTCTAACACCATCTGTGTATAACGGTTCCTTGGCTCAAGAATTAGTCTTGGTACCTTTGTCTGAAGTGGAAAAAGAAAGCATAATACAGAAATATGGCAGTATAAATCTAGCACTTGAAGCAAGAAAGGATTTAATGGTCATGATGAAAGCAGTATTTCCTATCAGAGATGATGTTACAGAAACAGTAGGTCCTCATGGAGAAGATCAATTCCCAAGGACGCAGCTAATATTATCAGCTTGGCAACTTATTGAAGAGTCTTATCCACTACCTTTAAAGGGTAAATTGAAAGATACCTATGCAGATTATGTGATGACTAAAGACAACTACCAGCCAGTCACTGCCAAGTCCCCTATGTTTGGGTTAGATTGTGAAATGTGTATGACTTGTGCAGGTTCAGAACTGACTAGGATATCAGTAGTCAATGAAAAACTTGAAACTGTGTATGAATCTTTAGTTAAACCATATAATGATATAGTAGATTATTTGACTAGATATTCTGGCATTACAGAGTCAATGTTATGCAATGTCACTAAAAGATTACAAGATGTACAGAAAGATCTTAGAGAACTATTGCCACCTGATGCTATCTTGGTTGGACAATCCTTAAATGCAGATTTACATGCTTTAAAAATGATGCATCCTTACGTTATAGACACCAGTCTTATATTTAACTTTACAGGTGAGAGAACTCGTAAACCTAAACTTAAAGCTCTAGCTAGAGAATTACTTAATGAGAATATTCAATCAGGTAAGAATGGTCATTGTTCTGTAGAAGACTCCATAACAACTGTGAAACTTGTGCAACTTAAACTCAGTAAAACTATGGAATATGGAGATGCAGTTCACACAAATAGGCAACAATATAAAGAAAATTTGATAAAAATGGCAAAAAAACCACAAGTTGCAACATCCATTTTTAACCACATGATAGAACAAAAGAAATCCTCCCTGATCATAGGTTGTGATGACATCACAGGTGATTATCACACTTATTTAACTGAAGCAAAAAAAAGTTTCAATTCACAACTAAAAAGAGGTAAACCAAAAAAAGTTAAATTAAACACTGTGGATGAAGCCGAGGAAGTTATTTCTACACTTTGTGATGCAGTCAGAGAAAACAATCTTGTTATGGCACATTTAAGACTGAATATTACTAATGAAAATGAGAGTGATCAGATGCAGAAGATAAACAGATGGATTGGTACAACCTGGAACAGCTTAGAGGATGCTGCCTTGTGTGTAATTGTGTTTGGTGGAACAACCAGTGACAATGGGGTGGGCATGATTAAAGTGAAGAATAATTCAAATATATATAAAAAATGTTAATTAATATAAGAATAACTTAAGTGTTTTCTATATTTTTCAGAAAATATATTTAAGTACAACTGTTTGTAAATTATTAATCAACTTTTATTATTCAATGTTTGGTAACATTATAAATTCTAATACAGTTATTCTCAGGTTATTATTAACAATAAGTACGGACTTTTTCCTTTTTTGTTGTTTATACAGGATGGCGGAGAGTAAATTTTATTTATGTATGGCGGCGTTAATTGCTGTCTCGGTTCTGTGATTTTTAGTCGCGATGCTTCACTTCAAGAGAAAACGGCGCGCTTTTGCCGTACGTAATTTTTACCAAAACAATTTTTTATTTGCAGAGATGGGCAAGCCCCGGTTTTAACCCGGCACTTCAAGATATTTAATTGAGTTAAATCTCCTAACTAACCTAACCCAACCCTTGAAACCATCACACAGTGTATATAAAATTGATAATTCAGGGATGTTGGTATAACTAGGACATTGGATATCTAGAAATAATGCCAGAGAAAGCCATTATCGTGAAAAGATCTTAAAAATTCTTAAATTTCCTTAAATATCATGAAAAGTTTCCAGAAATTTTATTAGACACTTTCTAGAATCCGGAATCCATTGATTATCATTATAACGTGATCATTTTTTAAATAATGATGATAATGATGCTGATGCTGCAACACTGCTCATGATGCTTTTGATGCTGATGATGCTTTTGATCATCATGCTGACGACAAGTATCATCAATATCATAAATAGCATCAGTTATAACAGCACCATCAGTATCATTAGCCCCAGTAGCAGCATCAGTACCATAAGTATAATCAGCACTGCCATCGCTATAATCAGCACCGCCGTCACCATAATCATCATTAAAAAATTATCACGTTATAATGATAATCACAATTTACTATAGTTCCGATATATTCTGGAAAGTTTCTAATAACATTTCTGGAAACTTTCCAAAAAAATTTAAGATATTTACACGAATAGGGCTTTCCCTGGTATTGACCACCACCATTAAAATGTGTCAGTCAACCTAAGTACAGAATATTTTGTGAAATGAAAAAAAGGATATGGTACCAAAAAATCAACTTTGTGAATTTCGCATTTAGGGAACATTCCCGCAACGTTTCCACATTCGGTAACATATCTTTAGAGCGCATCTACGAGCGTCCAATTTAAACGCTGTTGGGGGTGAAACCGTGGGCTGGGACAAGAATCTGGTTTTTGGATTAGTTGCTAATGCTAATTTTATTATTATGCAGCGCAGTAGGAGAGAGACCACATGATTTTTTTACATCTAAATTTAAATTAAGTACGAAATTATACCAGATCCATATTACTTAACGCGTATAAGCAATGGTTTCTGCCCACGATTTTGGGCAGAAGGGTCGTTTTCAGATAACCTCCAAAAATGTGTCCCTTTCAATAACTTTTATGTTATTACATGAATGCTAAGCATTATTTATTTAATATGATTGCTTGCTTACTTAGTCTGTATTACACATAAAAAGACTACTTTACTACGTCACAGTAATAAATAAAAATTAAAAAAGTAAGCAATTTCTCATTCATGGGAGTCGGTTCCATGTCGCCCTAATTTTAAGAAAAGAAGAAAAAATTAAACACGTGGAAATCGCAATATTTCTCATCGAGGATAAACTCTAATAACTTTCACGTCGAATACATACCGTAACTTTCCAATTTAATATAAACAAACATGTTTTTTTGGGAATAAAAAATGTGTTTCAATGTTTCTTATCATTAGTGTCACTTCAACTAAAAGCCTCCTAATAACAAAAGTTAATACCGCATCACCTTCACCCTTCGCACACGTGAGAAGGGGCTCCTGTCGGATTGGAGTGTACACAGTGAAGTAACCTGTGCATCTCCGTTTAGCAAAAAATCGACTTAAATACCAATTTCAGCTCTAGTGACTAAATCGTTCTCATTCATGTAAAGCAATCTATTTAAATAAGTATTAAGTAATAGTTTTATAAACTTTATTGTACATCAATCAGACAAAGAAACTTTAAAATCCATGCCCTTTTATAACGGTCCAGCATATTTTACACACTTGACAATTAAAAATGTATCCAAATATCATTATTGTCGCTTTCATTCTTGTCTACTTTTAAGTCAAATAGTTACTTTAAGCCAAACATTTACTTGAAATATAACAATTTAGATGGTGATAGTGGTGGTGACGATGATGATGGTGGTGATGATGACAATGACGATGACGATGATTGTGATGATGATGGAATGGTAATGATGCTGATGATAATGGTGATCATGATGATGATGTTGATGGTGGTGATGATGATATATTGATGTACATTTATATGACATTAACAAAATGCTTCTTTAGATTAATTAATTAATTACATATGTAGATAGATGGTCTTACACGGATGAGAAGGATTTTGATACAAGAAGTTATATTAAAATATTAGTTACATGTTAAATGATGTTAAATGTTCTTTTTTGATCGATAAAATGTATATTGTAATAATAATTTCTCATTACTGTGCCGTCTTTCTCATTTATGATCTAAAATATAGTTTTTTGTTATATTCTACTTAAATATTTCTATGATTTTATAATTATTGACATTGCTTGAACTTATTTGTACGTTTAAGACCTTAAAACCAAAAGGAAAAAGGGTTTTACAAAAATGACTCAAAAAGTGCCATTGAAATTCGGAAAGTGCAATTCACCCAGAAATGGATTGACACCCGGGGAACTTATCACACTCCAAACAACAATTTAGGCGTAGCCTTTTAAATATACCCAAGAAGAACGATTCTCGACAGCCCATTAAGCCCAAATTTAAGCCCACTGAATTTTTTCTTGCGAGATTACCTACTTGAAGAACCGTGTTGATGCAAATAATCTTAGGATTACGACTCAATTAAAATAAATTATCCCAGAGGTTGCTACGATTCTACAAGCAACCTGCAGGAGTGTAGGTTACCTACTACAAAATTGTGCATCGGAATTAGATTGTATTCTAAAAGTAAATTTGTTAACCTCCTTCATACCTCTGTACGTGTAATAAATTAATGAGATTACGAGTAATAATTGTTATAATCAATTTTCAAAAATAAGATTTAATACTCAGCCAACCTGTTATATAGATGTATAATTGTGAAAAAATAACACGAAATGACATTTTGGACGTAAAGGACTGTAACGTATTAGAATAAATATTCCTATTTTTTTTTTTCATTTGGAGACCGCATATATCTGTCCAGTGAGAGGATCGACGGTGAGCGAAGGTGGGAGCTCTGCCGCAATGTCTGCTAGCGCTTCCCACCGCGTCGCGCGACTGCTTGGCGATTGAACGGGGCTTATCACCTCCCCAAGGATCTCTCTACGGGAAAGTAATAATTTATTCACATAATTTACCACATTCTGCATTCATATACAGGTACGTAGTCTGAAATGTGGTTCAGTTTATTTTTTTAGTTAAAATATATTTTGTACTAAAAATTAGCGTTCTTTTTTATATCGATTTTATCGCGACAACAACGGACTTACTTAGATTCATCTGTTTCATTTTCTTCAACGTCTGGTGGTTGTGCTGCTACAGGAATTACTTTATTTTCTTTTTCCGTGGTCACGGTCTTGTCTTCTGTTTTCGTAAATTCGTCTTGAGATTTCTCCCAAGTATTTTCAACATACAATTCTACTACTTTCTCGACAACTTCTTCCATAGTTGAGAGTTTTTCTTCTGATTGTGAAATTTTCATCCCTGGCGAATTATGTACACTATCTTCATCACTTTTCAAAAAATGTTGATTCGGTCCTATGTCTGAAAAAAAATTACATTTAGAATACCATGTTATGTAAGGTCAGAGAACAAAAAGTAAAGAGAACGGACACTCTCCGCCCCTCCCTAGCTTTAGATACCACACCACGCCCCGCACATTGCCGGTCACATTGACTGAACGACAACAAGGCTGCCGGCGAGCCGTTTTCGTGCGAAGACGGCTTAGATATTTGAATAAAGTTTTCATTTATTCATTACCAAACTTGCACGTTAATATAAAACATCATTTTACGCTACTATTTATAATGGTCGTGAATTGTGCTGTGTACGGCTTTTTGTCATCATTTTCCGAAAGATGAAACGAAATAAATAAAAAACTTATGTCTGAGACTCATTTAGTTTACTGCAGAGTAATTATATGTATGTATAAAAAATACAGATTTATTATATCAATATAATGAGGCGCCATGACTTCGTGAGCTAGTAGACAAGGGTTCTCGAATTTTCAATTCATTTTGCCGATAAATATTACGTAAGTAGGGAATATACCTAATTAATGATGATCAACTTGGATGATGAACAACAAATTTTAAAAACAATTATTTTGGTTCCGTATGAATTTCGAGAAAACAAATATGCAACCGAGTGTATGCCTCATATTTGTTTAAATACATTGCGGCTTTTATTTAGTGCGATATATTTGTGATCCTTTGTTAATACGCTATGAATATCGAACTAATGCATATACAAAAGTATAATGCATTCAATTTCGTGGTACGGCCGCTTGTACATTTCTTTGGCCAAATTTAACATTTAGTGATATAATAATAATAATAATAATAATAATGTATTTATTTCTCTCCACAAACATAACAACTGAACATGGACAAAAGAAAGATAGACAAAAATGGTGTTTATATTATGTTTGTAAAAGACTGGTACCTAAACTAAGCATAGCTTGTAATATAGGATACCAGGTCTCTCACCACAGACAACTTACACTTTCTCTTAATACTATGATTGCAGAGGTTAAAATTAAGTTTAAGATTAAGGTTATACAATAATGAAAAAGAAAATCAAAGTTAAATATGTGAACTAACTAAAACTAACAATATAGTTTGAAAGTTTGTAAACTATGTGTGGGTGTGTGCGCGCGTGTGTGAGTGTGGTGTGTGAGTGTGGTGTGTGAGTGTGGTGAGTGGTGTGTGTGTGTGTGTGTGTGTGTGTGTGTGTGTGTGAGTGTGAGTGTGTGTGTGTGTGTGTGTGTGTGTGTGTGTGTGTGTGTGTGGTAAATGATTGTGAGTAGAGGATTTTGTATACTAATAACTTTAGGCTTTAATAATAAGAAGTTCCTCAACTTCCTCGTAACTACGTCCTAACAACCATTTCGTGATTAACGCTCTTGCTTCATGTTTAGTGAGGAGTAAAATGTTTAATTTATTATTAAAAAAATTATAAAGACGACTACCTCTGTAGTAGAAGAATCTTTGCGCAAACGAAGTTCTAGCGCTATTGTGTTCGGAACTAGTAAAGAGTCTTCGATTGGTAGACACAGAAGAATTTCCAGAAGGTAGAGTGATTGTGTGTTGACGCATTAAAGTCAGAAGCAGGTACAGTTGCCGTACAGATAGTACGTTCGCTTCCGAATATAGTTGCGATGTGGGAAAAAGTCGGGGTTTTTAGTAGTTCCCCCCAAGACGTAATGCAATAGGTAATTACTGATTGTACTAGCGCTCGATACACATTTCGCAAAGTTTTGCTGTCAGTGACTTGTCTAAGGTGTTTAAAAATGTAAATGAGTTTCCGAATTCTTTGAGACAAATTTTGAATATGTAAATAGAAAGAGAGATTGTTATCAATAGTGATCCCAAGATAGCGTATGGTTTGTGTTTTGTCAATACTTTTACAGTTGCAGGCAGTAGTTGGGGGAAATGAGCATGTATGGACATATAGGTTTTGGTTTAAATAAGAAGAAGACTTGGTGTTCCGAATACAAAAAGTTATATATTTCGTTTTATCTACATTGAGTGTTAGAGAGTTTGCTGCTAGCCAGTGACTGACTACATTTAAACCGTGTTGGGCAGATGCGAACACACTATCCCAGGAGTCACCATAGAATGTAAGTGTTGTGTCATCCGCATAAGCAATTATTTTACAATTTGGTAGTTGGAGTTTACATATCTCATTTACATAGCATAAAAAGAGGGTTGGGCCAACAATACTACCCTGCGGGACACCATGTGTAATAGGGAGCTCATCACTGAGGTAGTCACCAAGTTTGACACGCTGAGTTCGATTTGTCAAGTATTCCGTCAATAATTTTAATGGTGTTCCTCTAATGCCAATCTTTTCCAGCTTCCCTATCAGGTTTGGAATTGAGACCATACGGCGAAGGCCTTTGCAAGGTCAATAAATACAGTAATACATTTCATGCCACTGTCAAGCTTTTTAACTAAGAAATCTGTAAAATCATGAACCGCATCATCCACAGATATGTTTTTTCTAAAGCCATATTGAGCCTTCGCAAGAATGTGTTTGGTTTCAAGGTAGTTGACAAGTCTGTTATTGATAACACGCTCAAAGATTTTAGACAAGGAAGTAAGTATGGAGATTGGTCTATAGTTATTGGCCACGCTTCTATCCCCGGCCTTGTAAATCGGATGAACAATGGATTTTTTGAAGGCATCGGGAAAAGTACCGGCGATTATGCAGCGGTTTATGAGATTGGTGAGTACTGGATTAATAAAGTGTGAAATCTTTTTTAAAGCCTTCGTCGGAATACCATCCCACCCAGGAGAACAGTCTGTCTTAAGAGTAGAGATAACCCTTTCAATCTCTTCATGATCCACTTCAAGGAAAACAAACGAATGCAAGGGTATACATTCAGTGATGTATACGTTAGGCTACACTGTTCTCGATTCTGATCGATTTTGAAAACAAAGAGACGAAAATTGTTATGACCTTAGCAATATTATAAAAATATTCTATAACTCTTTTATTATAACGTTTCGTTTTTTTTTTAGTTTGTAGTATCTATTATCGGTAGTATCTGTAATTTCGATAATTTTTGCAGCACGTTGCCTCGAATGTCCGAGTATAGTGAGCAAATAATTACATACATCGCCGGATATGTAGTACCGAGTAATACAAAAATATATATAATGCAAAGAATTAACAGTACGCTGTCTTTGCAAAAACCTGGAGTTGGTCATATGAGTTCGTTGCTTTCGAGGACGAAGGTGGTCTAGTTTATCCCACCTAAGATGCTATCCGAATATGCAGAGTAGCAGAGTTAGAAATAATAAACAAATCACAAAAATTTCACACGAGGCCGTCATTAAGTTAACCTCTTTTGATTTATAAGATTTTACCATATTTTGTCAGCAGTTACTTTTTCATTTGTCTTGCCATTCATCAATTTGATCAATTACCAACAGAAAACCATCTAGTAAAATTAATTAAGGCAGTCGCAAGTTTATATATTGACGTGAGTTTTCATTATTTAAGTTAATCGATAAGATCTTCTATTATAAAAAGATATTATATAATAAGCTCATTTTACTGGAAGGACAAAATAATTTTAATATTTGAAGTTGATTTCAAATTAGTCTTAATTATTTTTTAAGTAATCAACATTTTTAAATTCAAATAAAATAAAGGCCTTAACTATCTCATTCTAGTATTTTCTACTATATTAATATTACGACTACTTAAACAAAATTATTATATTTAGAATCGATTAATTGAATGGGACGCGTAAAGACGCGTATTCCGTTCAATCGATTTAGAGCGATCGGAAGGAGGTTTGCATCACTAAATAGTTCGTGTAACGTCATAGTGAGTACAAAAAATGTGGCACGCTTGGTTTTCATACAAATTGCTGTACTTGCGGCGTCTATCTAGATATATGTCTGTGAAATGCAATGACGTCAATTAAAAGCCGTCTCATACGGCTACTCTTCAGAACATCGAGCGATTGATGCCGAAGTTCCTCAGGATTCCGCACTGTCAGCAACTCTGTGCTGCATATCATATAATTCCTGGCAACGACTTAGGCTACTACATAGACATCGTTGATTCCAGGTACCTTTGGGTATGCTGATGACTGCAAAGCTGTTGATAGGTACTTGACCAATGCGAGCGTCAGTGGAGAAGAACTCCAGTCTTGTCAAGTGTCGTTTAGTCGTTTGGATTTCACACTAAAGACTACAAAACGCAGGCATGTCTATTCTCCACAAAACGGAGTCCCTTTGACCTGACTCAGACTTTTCGTGGTAAATCTATACCGACAGCCTACCGTCTCCATTTATTTTAAATGAACCCGTCGTCCAATTTGAACTTCATCAGATATATGGGATGGGATCCACGCCCAAAAATGCAGCTAGCTAGGAATCCTTTCCAAGGTTTACTTCACACCGAGATGGTTACTTCAACTATACCAAGCACAAATCAAGTAAAGCTGCTACCACCGATAGGATGGCTCTTCTAAATATCAACTAGCCACCTTGATTCAGTTGAAAAGCGTGTCAAGAGGCTTAGGTATAGATGACTCAGATTTAATAGAGGCGAAGCTGCAAAGCCTTGAACACCGCCGTAAAGTTGCCTGCTTATCAGTATGCTACTGGATACCTATAACGCGGAGAACGTGTGATGGAATTGCACGATTTAATTCCGCCTTCCACTTCCAATAATTGAGAGACTAGACGTAGGGTGGGGTTTCATGTTGTGGTTATTCCAAAGATTCGCTTCCACATTTATATGGCGAACGGTTCTGGATTGGAATTCCTTGCCTGCAGACATATTCCCTGAACGCTATGACATTGGCTATTATTTGGATATGCATGATCCATCGTCGACATGGATAATGGTGCGCATTTGAGCTCTAACTCACCTGATAAAAAGTGAGGTTGAGCACTTTCCATTAGGTGGAGGTGCGCAATTGCAAATGCGCACTTATCCTAAAATTACTTTTCAAAAATTTTGTTTTGTATAATAAAGGCCGATCTGTCACTATTTTTATTTTTTCCTACGTTTGTAAAATGTGAAGTTACGGCAAGAGGAAAGTAGATATTTTTCAATTTCATTGCTAAAGCAATTATGTTAAAACATAATTTTCTCGTTTTTAAGTTTTTTGTCACCTGCACCCTTTCAAACTAACGGCGAAAATATACAAGTAACAAGAAAATAAAACGCAATATGATAGTAATAATACAATACAATAGTAGTCGCACACACTAGCACGCACTCACACGCACTCGCACGCCGTCGCAAGCGTGAGTTAGGTAACTCACCTTGTAAGAATATAATTATCTAAGTCGAAGCCTGTTTTCGTTCGATGAGTCCATAATCGGTTCATTCTAGTAAATCCATAATCATCTCTATTACATCACTAATTTACACATGCCATTCCGCGACATTAGTCATATATTTTGTTATAGCCTGCTCGCTACGTAGAGAAATTAGTGTTGATTGTTCAAAAGAGTTATCTCGTTACATAAAAAAAAGTCGGATTGAGAACCTCCTCTTTTTTAAGTCGGTTATAAAGTGGCATTATTTCCGGCAAAATAAATTAATAATTCAACACCAAAATGAACACGTGAACATTTCCGAAAATACGCAAGCCTACTCTGACGGATAATACTACTCAAGCTAATATCATAATTGCGTGGCGCAAACTATAGGTTCAACAACACAAATTTAAAAATTTATTAATCACAATACTTTGATAATTCGCACCTCTCATAGAAGAATGGCATAAGTGAAGTACGCCAAAAATTTTATTGTTCCATTGGATGCAGTGAACTCCAATTCTTTTAACTCTATCGACAAATTTTATTATTATAGTCGATAGAGTTACAAGAATTGGCGAGAATATGGGTGATATTTTTCTGTATCTAATGGAGCAATAAACATTTGTGAAGTAACTTCACTTAAGCCATTCTTCCATGAGGGTTGCAAATTTATTTGGTATTGTAAAGCAAATATCGGAAGGAAGCTACCTCGGTACGAACTAATAATTGTGCTACCCCGACTGGCACTTGGTATATTTTTCATTTTGTGAGCGTGAAGTAGATGTAAAAGGACGCCGAGATTATTAAGTCTGATTAAACTACAAAAAAATTTAAACAATTCTCACCGTTAACGGCATAAAGTTAAATTAAAATTTTAAACATACCGTGTTGACTCTACTTGCCGTGAACTTTAGTAAAAAATTAAAAATTTAAATTGTAGTATGAACTTAGGTCTCAAGGAAAATTTAAGTGTGGTAAGGAGAAAAACCATATATGTGTGAAACTGCATAAACTAAATATCCGTCTAATTGTTTTTGCTTACTATAGGTACCTTGTTCAGGCTCCGGCGACGACATATCTACAAATGTTTTATTATTTCTATCTAATTGAGTAGGCTCGTCTAATGTATCACACGTAGGAAGCACCTTTATTCCATTAATTTCTGTCTCTTTGTGACGAATTACTTCATTTGGTTGTTTCTCCGTCTCCTCGTGTATATCTTCTGTCATTGACAAATCTTTTTCTGAAACCCAGATTTTTTTAAATTGCTATCTTTTCCTTATTTCAAATATAGTGGATTTACACTACGCATGCAAACATCATGGTTTGCTTGCTGGCACTAACAATACTCTAATCTACAAAAAAATACCCTGAAATATAAAACATCTTGCCACGCATTAAATTCATTAATTTGCAGTTCTTTATTTACTTCCTGCCGTGACGTCAAAGTACATTTACGTACAGTCAATATGTTCAATGTCAAGGTAGTTTAATTACCATTATTTAATACAAATCTAAAATTAATGTTACATTGTTATCGTAATAAACCGCTATTACAGATTCAATATGCATATAAACCCTTAGTATTGAAAAGTCAATAAACTATGATAATATGTTGACGCCCGCCGATCTATTTTTAACTCAAATTAAAATGTAAAGCTTGCACCATATGACATTTCACAAGTGTTTACTTGTTAGCAACTACATTAAACGCTTGTACCTGAGTCAGTATGCGATGGGGGATTATTTGGAGCGCTGCTGGTGCAGCCCATGTTTCGTTTATTATGCTGCAGCCATCCGCATGTGGTACGTTAAATTGCAAAACTAAAGCTTGCGCGTGGCGAGCATTCGTCCACTTGATGCCGCTGGCGGGCTGTCCAGCCGGCCGCACTAACTTTCCCCGACTGCGCGCTACTTGAGATCGTATCGTGCCCACTAAACTACCTATTATGGGAGGAGGGAACCCACTCAACTGACCTCGCACCCCCATCGCGTTTTTCCAATTAAACCAACGTAGTACATTCCTCTACGTTGACGCGCATTGTTTGGCGAAAGACCTTTCTTCCTCATTTTCATGCAAAAATAGTGTTAGGTATATACCTATAAGTTATAATATAGTTTGCACCTAATCTGTATTACTACAAATGCGTTAACATGTTGTATTTTTTTTTAAATGAAATTATTTTTGTCGGGTCTAAAATAGCGTACAGGGGAAAAGCACCATTTATCGGATAGTTGACTGTTTTTTATTTCATATTTGAATAGCCAACTATAAAGTAAAAAAATCTGCTGACTAGTTTAAAAAATGGCAGTACAGTGAGACCACTTTATTTTTTTTCAATACAAAATAAAATATTATATGACAACGTGTTGTTTTCGTCGGGGTCTAGCATCTATTATATATATATATATATATATATATATACACACAAATAAAGGCATAAATATTTTTAAACCGGTAATGTTTATTACGTTGTAGTGAGATTTTTTGGATTTACGAAATCTTAATATCGGATACCTACGCAATTAATATATTTTTTATGTTCTATAAAAAATCTAATAAATATAAGTTGAAAACAGTTTTTTTTATGATTAAGTTTATTATTTTTTTGAAGAATGTTAATATTCCTTTAGGATCTTTAGTGTATGCATTAGCTAATTTAAAAGTTAATTTTTTATATTTAAGATCCTAGTTACCCAATCAAAGATTGATAACAAGTCTAATAGTTGTTAATAAAAATAAATTACAAATTATTTGATTAGTTTCATGTATTATATTAGGTATTGTCACTTAATATCGTATTCACAAAAAATATTTTTGGTTTTAGGCAACCTTTTGAAATTCATTGATTTTTCTCTTTTTTTATAAAACGTACTGTAGCTTTAAATATTTAATTAGAATAGAAAGAATTTGTATTATTTTTAATAGATTTTAAAATAAAGACTACTTGATGGTTAAATTTGAAGTTCTGCGTTGAATAGCATTTTTTTTTATTTTTCAAACAGAAGTAACAAAGTAAGTATATAGTAAGTAGTAAGTATTTGGTGCTTCTCCCCTACATAGCTGTTTTTTCAAACATTTCAACGTTTCGGGCTCCTTGGTCATGGCTGACTGCGAAATACTTACTCGATTTAATTCCAGAAAAAAAAGTTTAGCAACAGTGTAACAATTGCGAAAACTTAGAACTCGTCATCGAGTATATATACTCGATGGAACTCGATATATTGTATTTTAGTCGTGGCTTTGTGTACCCCGCCATAAAATCTATTTTGATGAACAATTTATCTCAAAAAGTCATTGACTTACAATTATATTGACGTCGGGTCCGCGCTAAAAAGTGTCCGCACTTGTAAGGCGCTAAAATCGTATAGAGAGCGCCAAACTCCGCTTCAGTCTTCATTTGTTCGACTGACAGCGCGATACTGCGATGACATTACAATTTAAATTTCGAATAGGTTGACTTGGGACATTTTTTTCGTGGTTTTTGTATTAGACCCGTCGTCCATTTATTTGTAAGTCAATTCAAAAAGTACATTTATTAACGCGGCATCGGCTTGAGCCGGTCAGAAAGTTTTATGTCCGTGCAAATAGAGAGGAAAAAAAACGTTATGCCTGCCAATGCGAAACGCGCAACGTATTTTTCGCTCCTATTAAGTACATGAACGTATAGCTTCTTCAGAATGCCGGCTTAATGCGATTTCCTATCGATAAGTATGATAACTCATGGATACCTCCCTAGTATTTTTTCTTCTGAATGCAAGTTGTTACTCTTCTAAAAAACAACGGATTATTCCATTTATTTAATTACCAATCAATCATTCAATAAATTACACGATTGCTTTGTTATAGACATTTTCATTTCAAACTGCCTCAGTGGCCGAACGGTTACCATGCCAGACTGCCACGCAGAGGTCCCAGGTTCGATTCCCGGGCCGGGAGAAATGTTTGTATGGTTTACATTTATTTCTCTCGTGAGTTTGGGTGTAATTTGTGGTTGTCTATGTGTGTGTGTGTGTCTATGGCACCCGCGACACAGGGTTTCCCTAGTGCGGGGCTAAGTTGAGTGTGTGCGTTATAAAAAAAAAACATAGTAATAAGCAAAGCAATTGTTGTGTTCATCAATGATCGTTAATCCAGGTACCTCAAACGTTCGCGTATGTATTAGGTTTATTTTTATCATTATATTTCGTATGTGTGTCGGAATAAACCCATACTTAAACAAAGCTTAACGATTTCGCTTTATAAATACAGCAGTTCTTAATAGTTCACGCAATGTACGGTACTTGCTAAATAAATTATGCTGTCCCGCCCCGGAACGGGTACCGCCGCGCCGCCTCCGCGCCCGCTGGCCGCCTGGCTGCTTTTCTCGTGGTTTTCATGACCACCCACTCTAGGTCACCGTTTTAAAAATAGTAACTTTTTAAATTACATCGCTTTGTTACAATGGCAAGCAATGTAAAAAGGTTAATCAACACAGTTCTGTTGTTTTTTGTAGTCAGGCAAGTACATAAACTCCGCAGTTTGTGCTCCTTATGTAACCTTGCAGCGAAACACCCAAATTTCACACAAAAACCCAAAATTCAAATTTACTGTTATCACGATGTAGGATTTCTAAAACATCGTTTCTTATCATGCAATTCATATGCTAGCTACTAACTGTTGCATACATTCCTCGCAACGTTAAACGGACTGCAAACATCTCAAATTCGTTGCCGATAAATATCTACTTAACTGGGTAAGGTGAAGGTGAAAAAGAATAATTTATTTTGTTTAAGACGTATCTTTAAGCCTCTGCACTTTGGGGATTTCATGCCATAAACACTCTATAGGTAGGTACCTAAATGCTTATCCTACAATTTAGATGATTATTATTTTTTAAACACATACCAATTGGTAGGTCAATCATACCAATCCGTAAAGTCTTTAACTTTCGTACTCTTATTGAGGTGTAAACCATCAGCAATAGGCAGTTTAATAGGCAGTTCATTTATTTATCAGACCAGAAATCAAAGGTGCCATAGCCGGCAACCGGTTAAGTAACACGCACAGTTCACCGTACTAGTTACCTACAAGGGCCATATAAGGTCCTCAACCTTTTTGATTAATCTGGACTTACTGGATTACCAGGGAAACATATTAATGCTGCTTTTTTTTTCAAAAACGTGAAACAAACAAACTTGTCAAGTAATTACCTACTTAATAGTCGGTTTAAAATTTCCAGTACTGGCCTGTCTTACATAATTTAACATAGTACGTTTTGATGATATATTTGGGAGTATGCATTAACTACATTAGTTTCATATCTCTCCGCTATATACAGATGACCTGCTCTGTAATTAATTAATTAAAACAAAGACCTTGCATCGTACTTTATTTCTGTATAACGTTCAACAAACCCTACAAGATATAAGTACTTACATGTTGTAGGGTTTGTTGAACGTTTCTAAGACAAAAACCGCAATTTCATTTCCTCAAAACATGACCTAAGTATTCACGTAGCCTAAGGTTGTAAAAACTTTACGATTACCACCGACTCGGTCATCTGTTATATTGCGTGATATTTACGAGGTCAAAGCAAGTTCCAGCGATTTAATTTGTTCCTTAAATATTTCAGCATAAGCTTAGGCACAATTAGAATAATTTGTGACAATTTGTCTATTACTGCGATCATAATAGAGTGTTTTCACAAAATAAAAGAGTGATAAATTTAGTACATTGGTACCGATTGTCTGCGTAATCTTGATATTAAGTAGACTGACAATTCTGTATTCACAACTTTTGAATATTTTCTGATAATAAACTCGAGGAAAATTTAGTTCCGATCGCGATGACATGGACAGGGACCGGCCTCTGCTACAACCAGTGGACCGCTTAAGGCTATGGCTTCGATCTCTATTAGGGCGCCCATAGGCAATTTGCCCACTTGAAACGTCGCTCGTGCCGGACAGTCTTTCTGGAAATCTGAAATTAACGATTTTCTAAAGTAAAAGTCGACACTGGAGTTACTTACGTAGATAAATATCGAGTTCTTAGGTTTTCCCGATTGTTACACATAGGAAATGAAACTATTTTTCCGGATTTAAATCGCGTATATTTGCTTTTTCAAACGTTTCGGGCCCTTAACCTGTTAAGTCCCATGGTCCCACGGTCACGGTTAACTCAATAGTTTCATTTCTTACGTAGATAGACTACATTATGATCTTGCTTACATTGTTCATAAATTTGATTAACAGATTTGGAGTCCTGAATATCACCCAGCAGAATAGTGGTCTTTATGACGGATTCAAACGTAGCACCCCCGGCCTGCAGCACATGTTGCAGATTACACAAAGCTTGTCGTGTTTGCGCTTCTACTCCACCCGGAACCAGCTGTGCATCTCTGTCCAAACCCAGAACTCCGGAAACGTAGAGTGTAGTGTTGTTTGCTAAAATAGCCTGACTGAAAATTAACAACCAAAAACATCATCCTTACTAAATTATTATTTATTTTAAAAGTTTATCGAATGTCACGATGTTTGACTACCATGATAATCAATTATTTTTGTGAAAATGCTACATTAGTTTGTTGTAATTATTAATACAAAGAACACTAAGCAAAAATTCCTTCGAAGCCGTCTGGATCCGAACCAGCATCTTCCAGCAAACCGTGTCAGACACTATGCCAACAAAGCCACGGAGCGAACTAGCGAACCTAATTTTTATAAGTGCTTGTTGCAGATCCATATATATTTTTTTTATTTTAACAACTTTTTTGCCGTAGCGTCATCTGTGAGAAATCTATTTATTATTTATTCATTGAGCATTGGCTATAGAGCCATCAACTTAAAAAGAGAACTCAATAATATAACAATTTAAAATTAATTCGTATAAAAATGGTAACTGCAAAACCCGGCTATTTTATCGTACTTTTCATTGTTACTAAATATTTGGGTCGATTTTAGCAAAATTCTCGGTAGTTTTAAGTTTTCTTTTTTACGGTAAACTGCATTACAATTGCGTCTGTGAAGTTCTAAAATTTTCCACTTGCTGACGAAGCACTTGTATTTCAAATTATTGTAACAACAAAAAATTGTTTAACCTGTAAGGCCCAACGGGTGGGTAAACCTCTGGTGACTTAACGATGGTCTTTGAAGCAGCTTTTTTAGATGCTATATCATCCTTTGAGGTCATCTTTTATTGTACAGAGCACACTACCCTATTTTACGAACTATAAAAGTGTGGTGGGGAAACAAAACAGAACTAAATACTTAAAATTCACAAAAAACCCTATATGCTGGAAATTTACTTGATGTGTCAAAATAAAGTTTTTTCTATCAAGGCGAATTTTGTGACAAATGATAATAAATAGACGTTTTGACCAAAGAGAAAACTGCACTTATTTACCTACATAGTTACCAAATCATTAAATTTAAACAACAATAATGGTCTATCAAAAATAATTGGTAAACAATCTAAATAGTCCTCTTTAAAATACAATATCGTCGGCTTAGTGCAAGAAGTCATTAAAAACAAAAAAAAAACTAAGTACAGTTGAATCCAGACACGAACTCCTTTCTGTTTATTCTATGAAATCATTGACCTATAGATAAATGTATGAAAGTATGAAATGCAAAAATTCTCAAAACGTCCTAACTCGTAACGTTGAAGACAACGACCTCCTCAGTAATCGCCAGTACGGATTCCAACGAAGGCGGTCTACGGAGGATCTACGTATGTATATCTCTCACATATGGAACGACTCTATGGAAAAGCATGGGTGTTTTTGGACATTTCTAAAACCTTTGACAGAGTCTGGCACGCGAGCCTCTCTAAACATGCGTCCCTCTTATATAAATAAACCTTTGCCATTGGATCTCGGAATTCTTGAGCTAGCGTTCGATTAGTTTTAGAAGGCTGTACCTTTTTTTTTTTTTTTTTTATTGTGACTCGGCAAAATGACTGCACCGCGCCTGATGGAAAGTGCGAATACAGTCCAGAGATGAGAGTAACGGATGGAAAACACAAATATCTTCACTCCGTCACTGTCATTTTGCCGGTCTGGCCAAATGCTTCTTCACACTACGTTTGAAGGACCCGATGTTATAGAGGGGAGGGAATACATGCGCCGGGAGTTGGTTCCACAATTTGATGGTTCGGCATAAGAACGAATTGCCAAACTTTTTAGTGCGGGACGGTATTGAACTGACCGTCCAACTGTGGCAACGCAGTCCGGCACGGGTGGTCCGCTGATGGAAAGGAGAGGAAGGGATAAGGTTGAATAACTCTTCAGAGCACTCACCGTGGTACAGGCGATAGAATACGCTAAGAGACGCTATATCTCTGCGAAGCTGTAACGACTCCGCATGCTCAGTTACATGAGGATCGTTGACAACACGGAAGGCGTAGCGCTGCAGTCCATCTAGGGCATCGAGCAAGTACTTGGCAGAGCCGTCCCAAAGGTGCGAACAGTACTCCATGCTGCTTCGGACCTGAGCTTTATACAACAGGTATCGCAGCTCTGGAGTAAAAAATCGGTGCACCTTGTTCAGGATGCCAAGCTTGCGCGACGCGGTACAGATGACGCTCTCTATATAGTCCTTGTTGCTCATGTCCTTCCGGATGCTCATCCCCAGCAGGCTGAGCTTGTCCTGCAGCGTCAGCGTTGTACCCTGAAGATGGGGAAGTGGAAGGAATGGGGATTTTTTGGAACTGAACGCGCATACCTGGGTTTTCTTGGCGTTGAACTGAACCAAGTTTCGGAAGCCCCACGACGATATATGTTCCAAAACATGGTTGAGCTCAGCGACAAGTTTTTCCCGGTTTCTCTCAGGGTCCTCCCGGCTGCTTGACGGTTGCTTATAATAGCAACCGTGCACTGTGCTATCATCTGCAGTCATTGACATGCAGAAGGAACAGCGTGGGCGACAGCACGGAGCCCTGTGGCACCCCAGCATTAACTGTCACGAGCCGCGAAGTGCCTCCGTCAACAAGGACATGCAATCTTCGCTCGCGCAGAAAGCCGGAGATCCACTCACAAAGGCGGCCGGGAAGACCATATGCCGGAAGCTTGGAGAGGAGACCACGGTGCCAGACCCGATCAAAGGCCTTAGCAATATCCAGACTTATCGCTAAGGTTTCGCCCTGTTTGTCGATAGCTTCACCCCAGAGATGCATTAGATACGCTAGAACGTCACCCGTTGATCGGTTCGGCCGAAACCCGTCGATCATTAAGAATGGAGTGACGTTACAGGTGCCGGATTATCTGGATATTTAGAATCCGCTCCATCACTTTGCAGAGCACTGAAGTGACAGCTATTGGGCGATAGTTTGTCGGATCAGACCGATCTCCTTTCTTGGGGATAGGTTGCACGTTGGCCTCCCTCCAAGCTAGGGGCACGTTACCAGATTGGTATGAGAGGCGGTATAAGCGCGTCAGTACGGGAGACAACTCCGCCGCACACCTTTTAAGGACGATAGGAGGTATCCCATCTGGACCATAGGCTTTCCGCACGTCAAGAGTCTGCAGTTCCTTGCGGACATCACATTGCCTGATAACTATATCAGGCATTGTGACTCCGCAGTGGGGAATTGATGGCGGTTGCGCATCTTGGTCGTGAATGCGCGAGTTAGCCCCAAAAAGGTCGGCCAATAAATTGGCTTTCTCTTCGGGGCCATAGGCCAAAAATCCATTGGGATACCTCAAAGGCGGCAGCGACGAACGACAAAAATTGGACTGCACGGCTTTGGCCAGGCTCCAGTAGGCACGGCTACCGGTGGGATGGGCTACCAGCTTCTGGCCAATCCGTGAAACGCGCTGGGCATCCGCTCTTATGTAAGCCCTCCTGCAAGACTTGGTTGCTTTGTTATAGGCTGCTTTAAGGGACGCAAGGTTGGGATCCTTTGTTACACGACCCTTGATCCAACCACGATATGCAGCCTGTTTCTCACTAACAGCGTCCATGCATTCGCGATTGAACCAAGGGCGTCCTCTGCGATTGGCGATGACACTGGAAGACGGTATGTAGTAATTCATAGCCGTTCCAATCTCATCGACAACAGCATCGGCAGCTGCTGAGGCATTCTTTCCCGCAAAGCAGTGCTGCAACCAAGGGATGGACGCAAAGTAGTCGCGCATACCGTCCCAATCCGCCGACGAGTAGTGCCAAATGCGACGAGTGACCTCCTTCAGCTTAGTTGGAGGCATTTGGGAAACCTTACACCCAACCAAACAGTGATCAGAACTTCCCAGGGGGGGCGCTGACTGATACTGTATAGTAGGTAGGGTGACTCGCGAGCAGAAGGTCAAGCAAAGAGGGTGCATGATCCGATATGTCTGGAACCCGGGTGGGCTGGGTTACCAGTTGGGTCAAGTCATGCGTGAGAGCGAAAGCGTGGGCAGTTCTTCCTGCATGGTCAGTCTCGAGGGAACTTAACCATGATTCATGGTGAGCATTAAAGCCCCCCAACACGACCATCTCCGCAGATGGGAACTGCGCCTGCGCGTCAAGAGTCGCCTGGCTCAGTTGGTCAAAGAGCCTAGTTGTCTCCGCATCCCCGCTGTGGGATCTATATAAGCACGCGAAGACTCCAGCTGAATAACTAGATTCTACGAGCACCCACATAGTGGAAAAGGAGGGGTCCTCCAGGCAGCGCAGACGGCGACAGCACACATCCGAACGAATATATACACATACCCCGGCTTTGGCCTGAAAGTTTTCCTCAAGCGAGTAGCCGGGGTAGTTCAAGTAACTCATATCATTCGGACGGCGAATCTGCGTCTCCGTCAGGAAAAGCAGGGCAGGCCGGGCTGTCTCGAGGTGATGGTGGACAGCTTTGAGGTTGGAGTGGAGTCCGCGGATGTTAGCGAACTCAATAATAAACGCGGTGGGGGGATTAGGCACCGCTGAACGATCTGCATTCTTATGTTGCGCTGTCATGGTGGGTAAGAAGGACGGTAGTGTGAAGAGATGAAGCCTTCGGCACTGCACCGAAGAAGAAAAACGAGGGGAACTGCAATACATGCCGTTGATCTTTTGAAGGATAGCCGGCTGACCCGCCGAACGGAAGGGCCCCCGTACCCCCCCGGGATATGCCGCCGGGACCCCAAATTCCGGTCACTAACCGGCACGACGACCTACCCCAAGATTATGCGCGGCATGGTGGGGCAGCCTCTAGGGGTAGTTAGTCCCTATTGGGCCCCTGTACTGTACCGCGGGCGGCCAGCGGACAACCGTTTCTACGGGTCTCCCTGGCCGGCAGGTCAACTAGATATCCCTCAACAAGTGACATGGCGAATATCCGCCTCAGTCCTCCCAGATACCGCGCCGAAAACTCCACGTGCACTGGATGTACACCAACTGATCCTTGAACGCGATTCGCAAAAGCGTTTCACTGTGGAGGGTTTTCCGCCGTGTGTACTGTGGTCGCTATCCAGTCGGCACAAAGCCTACCACAACGCTAAGCAGATGGACACTTGTGACGCCCTCGGTCGCCTCTTACGACCCCCACGGGCATGTATGGGGAGGCGACAATGTAACCTTCGGGTTTACTAATGACAGCACAGTTGTAGATAGATATTTAACCTCGTTACTATTATAAAATAAAGCATTTTAATGTTTACCAAAATACGATAATAACCAACTCCCATAATTGTGTTAACAAAATCAACATTGTTGCGTTAAAAATAATAACATAAAATTATTACTTTTAATGTCTCATACGCACACATCAACACGCACTGCTCGACGACTCTTGTCTTTAAGGACTGCGGTATTGCGGACGAGAAGACGTCCCGGAGCTTCCCGAAAGCTGCCCAACCGAGTCGGATTCGACGATTGACCTCTTTCTCGAAGTTGGCCCTGCCTAATTGGAGGGTTTGTCTGAGGTAGACATACTCGTCAACAACTTCGGGAGTAGAGGTTCCCACTGTTTTAAGGGTGGGTACGACATGGATATTCGACATAAGTTTCGTCTTGTCCATGTTCATTTTTAGACCCACCTGCTGGGAAACTCTATTGAGGTGACCGAGTATGGTGCCAAGCTCTTCCAACAATTCTGCCATGACCACGATATCATCAGCAAATCGAAGTTGAGTGATGTACTCGCCATTGATGTTGATGCCGAGTCCTTTCCAGTTCAGTAACTTGAAGGCATCTTCCAATGCAGTGGTGAACAGTTTCGGATAAATGACGTCTCCCTGTCGCACTCCTCTTTGCAATTGGATAGGCCTTGTGCACTGGTCCTGAAGTCGAACTGACATAGTGGCGTTTGTGTACAAACACTTCAACACTTCGATATA